GAGGTTCGGACCGGTCCCCAGGTTTCGCCAAGGGGTTCTCTGTTAATCCAAATAAACAAGCCGTTGAAAATAACTCTGTCTGTCTGTCTGTCTGTCTGTCTCGCGCGCGCTCTCTGTCTCGCTCTTTCTCTCTCTCTCTCTCTCTGTCTCGCCCTCTCAGTCTCTTGCGGAATTGACCCCAGTCCTCCACCTCTGACCTTCAGCTCCCTCCACCTGTCTTTTATTTTCTGTTTATGCCTCCGAATGGGAGGGGCGGGAGGAAAGAGTGGTGGGCAAGGGCACCGAAGCTGGCCGGTGCCCGGAGACACACTCTGAGGCTGCGTTCAGCCCTTCCAACCTCTCAATAATCAGGGGAGGTGTTAATGGAGGACTCGGCCGTAACAGAATCTCATAAAGCCGAGAGCATCTTGAGGCTTGGGCACAGTGGGAGGCTGGAGTCCCGCCGCGCGCCCGAGGCTCCCCGCCCCCGGGCGGGTCTTCGCCTTCCAGGAGCTCGAACCTTAAAGATGCTGCCGCCAGCTGGTGCCTGCATGGACGGTGAATGGGCGGTAGCTCCTGCGGGAAGCAGGGCTAAGCCATTGATTGCTAACAAGTCATATCCCCGCCTCCCCCCACCACGTTCTTCCTACGCTGTCGGATCTCGAAGACTGGACACCTGGGACCCCGCACTTGGAGACGCACCCGCCGCTCCCGGGCTGCACTCTCCGCTAGGTCAGACGCGAGGTTCTCGCTCCTTCACGGCCCTGGCTCGTAGGGGGTTGGAGTTAGAGATTTAGCTCCTTGGAGAAAACCGACTCAAGCCTGGGGGACTCAAACTGTAAGACACGACTTCTAGCCAAGGGAAAGGGTGGGGGTCGCCTACCTGATCTCAGGTTCCCGAGGGTCTGTATCGCCCTAGCTGTCCAGTGCTCAGTCTGGCCGCTGGGAAACCGAGGGAGAACCGGGAGACTGAGCCTCTGGCCAATTAATTACCCACTCTCCCACCGGTGTGCCCCTATACAGTCGGAATGGGGGCAAGGGATTACTGAGAGGCTCCCGCAGAAGGGGAAGTGGGTGTACGAGATTGGCCGCCCTGGGATGGGAGTCCGGGTGAGGACTCCGCCTTCCCTACCTGTCCCTCCCTCCTGCTATCATACTGTCTCCTCCAGGGTTTGTGGGCCGAAGGCGCGCGGGTTTGGGTGCACCTACCGTAAACACAGCATGGGCTGGGTGGCACGTGGGACCGGAACGGATAGACCACCTCTTTGCCTGCGAATAAACTCTGCTACATAATTTAACAGCGGTCAGGGTCCTGGAGCTGCAAGTCAAAGCCCTCTGGTTTTATGGTCACACCCCAAATCTCGGAATGATGTTTAGAGCACCCGGGGTAAGGGTCCCCTTTCTAGCCCAACACTGCTTCACTGACCAGTCCCACTCAACCAAATAGTCCCAGGAGTTTATCTTTCCCTTCAAAGCTCCCCCCCCCCCACTTTGATCTTCCCATCCCGACCTCCTTAGCTTTCTACTTTTCAAGGATTCACTCCCAAAAGCATAGTTGCTCTCATGCATTCCTGTCCAAAGTTCTTATCTTCTTTGGGATCACAAACCATTTCAGGTATTTGATTAAAGCTTACACAAGCACGCATGCACTGAAGTGCACATTGAAGATCACACTTTATAAAAAGTTTGGGTAGGAAAATGCCATCATCACAAATCTCCCGATCTCCCTAAAACTGAACATACCCAGGTTACTTTCTTACACTCATAATGGGGGGAACAGGGGAATGAGTGTGGATGTTCTGTGTTATGAAGTCAACGTTGACTCTGTCTGGGGAGCAGGGTCAGGGTGGAAAGGGTACTATATCACACAGCAAGGCATGCAGAAATAGTGGGGATGCTGGGTATTCCAGATAGTCTTAGGTAAAGATCGCTGTAGGATGGTCTCAGAAACCACATTTTCCACAGAGGCTCACAGGAAGATATTGGCACCCCCCCCCAAACTAAACTAACACACTCTCTCTGACGTGTGTGTCCGTCTGACTTTTTTTCCAAAGGAGGGATCTGTTTTAACAACTATAGTGCCCTTTGATTGTTGCAGGATAGGACAAAAATAGAACTGAGCCTTAAATCCTCCACCATGCCAGTGGTCTAGTCCACACACCAGAGCCTTCGCTCTGAGGTAGCAAGATGAAAATGGCAGGTGTTGACATGGAGGGGGAGGTTCTTTCTGGGCTGACCAGGTTATTAGGTCCCAAAGTGCTGGCAGGAAGGCAAAGTGCTGGTTGCTTTTTGCTGGGCAGTGGGCCCCCGTGTCTATACTTACGTCTGTTGACCCAAATGCCTGGCTGGTTCTGGTGGATGAAACAAATTGTGGAACAGGCACTGTGAACATTTAAGACAAGAAATGGTGAAGTTGGACAAAGACCTGTGCAGGGCTCAGGGAGCATCTTCCACATGTTGAAAGTCCCACGTCTCGCTGTGTGTGTGGGGGGAAGCCTTACGTTCTTTGGTCTGATAATCAGTGGGACCAGTGTGGCTTCAGAAGGGAGGGGAGTGAGCCTGGTAACCCACCTGCTGTGTGGACCGCAGCAGGCTGGACCCTTCCCCTGTGAATTGAATAACTCGTCTGGGGAATCTATCCCCCACTTTTGGGGGGGGGGACTCACAGGATCCCCCAGTTTCTGTTGGCTCTTTCCATGTTGCAAACAATGTAGAAATGAGGCCTTTGTAGCAGGAGTCTCCTGAAACTTTGAAAGTGAAGCAGTATCACAGTTGATTAAATGGGAGAGTATTTTCTGGGCACCCGCATGTGTTTGTATGCACACATCCAATAAGAAACCTGATTTTTACTTTTACAATGTGCAAATATAATATAGCTTGAGGCTCATGCAGCAAGGCCCATTTATGTGGCCATATTGTGTTTAATGTGGGAGCAGTCACCCCCACCACTACCCCTGCCCTGTGGTTCACAGCATCTCTTCAGAACCACATCGGAGAACTTCAGATCTGCCTCTTGGACTCCAGATGCAGAAAAAAAGTAAGAAGCCCCTCCCTTCCACCTCCACACAGACCAGTGCCTCTTTGGCTACTGTCATCAACAAGGTATAAATTTCTGGCAGGAAGAATGGTCCATCACTGAGGTCCACAAGAGGGTCACTCATGACAGACTTCTGCAGTCTTTCTTTTTGGGCCAGTTCCCTCCTGCAGAAAATGGGCTGAAGGAGGAAAGAGCCACTTCCAAGAAGAAAGTCTCAGGAAAACAAATTTCTATTTGCCAAAGGGTTTTCTCAAAATTCAGCCTTATATTGAGGCTCCTTTTCAAAATGAACTTCCTTTTCTCTTTCCTTTGTGTTCCAGAAAGACAGGCATTTTACTTATTTTATTATACGTATATTTTACATCATTCTTCATTTTTGTACCATGTATGTTTTCTCCTCTCAGGTGTAGCTCCCATGACATTCCACCACCAATTCACACATGTCCCATCACCGTAGTCCCTTGTGCTCTTCCCACTTCTCTTTGGACCCTTCTCCACTTCCTTCTCTCCTCCCTCTTGGGACCTCTGCAGAAAGCCCCACCTGGGCTTGGTGATAAACCTAGTAGAAAACCTTGAACTGGCTGGTGGCACTTTGACCTAAGAATGGAAAGGAAATGGACTCCCAGAAGTCCAGAAACCTTTCTAGATAGATTGTTTTCTTCTACCATCACACACAAGATCCCTTCTCCTATTCACCTCAAACTAATTTTTGCAGAGGACCAGGCCATACAGGCTGCCTTGCCACAGCCATGGAGGCGGCCATGCCCTCCATGGATGAGGGCAGGGTTATCAGGTCACCGCAGGTAAGGCACAGGGGACACTAGGACACTGAAAATGCCATCACCTTGGGAAAATAATTTAATATTTGACTTAAAAAGAAATGTAAGGAATCGCGATTAGGGAGAAAAATAGAACCTTACTTGATTAGTTTTTCATTTGTTTTACATTTGAGAGGGCTTTTATTTTGAAAGGAATGTGGGAGAAGTCACCAGCTGCTTGGTTGCATAAGACCCTTAAAACCCTTACAACAGGCTTCAGGCAGAGACTAGGCAGCTGCCTGAGATGTTGGAGAACCATTCAGATGCCACAGGGGAAAGGCTGAAGGTCAGCTCCCAGGAAAGCCAGGCTTCCAAATGGACAGCAGCAGCTTCATTTTACTGAACAGCTTCCACAGACAAGAAAAGGCCTAGGGGTGGGGGAGGGTGGGGAGAGGGGAAGGTGTGTGAGTGTGTGTGTGTGTGTGTGTGTGTGTGTTGGGTGGGAGAAAGCACTGTTCTCTGAGGGAAGCAGAGAAGGTATGGAGAGAATAGACCTTGGGAGCTCTCCCCCCACCCCCAGTTTGGTGACTGATGTCCACAGCAATAGATAAGGTTAATAAAATATCCCTAGACAGATTTGACATAAAAATTGCTGCAGGAAAATGAAGAAGAAAGAATAGTCTAGTGGAGGTCTCTTAAATGGCCTGAATCCAAGACAGAATGATTTAAAGATTTTATCGAGAGAACAGATGGAAGATGAGAGCATTTCTTGACACAGAATGGCACTTCTTGTGCACTCATATGGGCTGCATAATATAGGATTATATTAATTTCCTTATAACTCAAAATAAATAAAATAAAGAATGTATTCAAACTCTTGTATTTGCCAGTAACCTCCCTTGGTTTGTTAACACTAAGGAGAAAACAGTATGACAATTGAGACTACAGGAAAAATCAAGAGCTACTAATGTGACCCAATTGCTACTATTTATTTAATGGAACAGTCATTATTTTCTTTCTTCAACTATGTGTCTGATAATGAAGCAAAAGGAAAGAAAGATAACTATTGATGTGCCACTTCAGAAACACACAGTTGCTAGCTTTTTCACTTTATTGACATTTTAAAAATAAATCTGTTTAAGATTAAGTTAGTGCTCAAATACTTACAACACTAAGGACAATTTGAGAGTCAGGTTTTAATTATTTATTTATTTTTTACAGGCTTAAGTAGATGGAGAACAAAGGTGAAATTACTGTCACACATAGAAATATGAATTAAAATGCTTCCGTTTAGATGAATCTTTAACATTGACTTGACCATATGGACACTGTAGAAGAGATTTAAAAAATAATTATTGAATTATTTAATAATCATCTTGAAAAACTACAACACTCTCATTATTTTAAAAAAAGAGTCTGCTAGTAATGTTATGGAGATCATTTGATCTGTCAGGTCCTGCAGGCTGAGAAGAGAATAATGGCAACCTCTGGCAAATGGTCCTAATTAGGGTCTAAGAATCACTTCCTAAATGCATCCTTCCAGCTTTAAGAATTTTACTGTCAAAACCACTCTTAGAAAATCCTTAGGTCCTCAATTTATGTAAAGCTTTTATGCATTTGATTAGAAACATAATGTCACAGGTAGGAGCATAGAAGTGCAGCAAGCTGAATTTTCCAAGACTGGCTACAGTTAGTTCATAAATATACTTAGTGTCCATTCCTTAATTATAAAGTGGAGCAGCTAAAGGAAACAATACCTTTTGCCCCAAAACATACAAAGTAGTCTGTAAACAGATCACTGTTCATAATCTTAATTAGAATCTGTTTATAATCTTAATTCTATAACAATTTAGCTTACAAGCATGCTATAAAGCTATGAGAAGAACCCACTCCCATTTATTTTTGTTTTAAATAGGAAAAAATTAGTTTATTTTAATCAGTGAAGAACACAAAGACATATCAACTGAGTTATACATTTTAAGCAGTACACAGCACTAAGTTTGAGATGGCTAATTTCATAGTTATAGATAAAAAAGGAGAGCAAAGTGGGAGAGAGACAAAGCAAAAAGGGAAGAGGAGGAGAGGAAGGAAGGTGAGAAGGAAGGAAGGAATTCATTATCATTAAAGGAAATCTATCTCTCAATACTGGGCTCCTTTCTATGTTTTCAAGCTAGTAATGAATAAAACTGCTTTCTGGGATCTAGTTTGCAACATTCTAGATTTCTTTTCCTGCCTTCCTCTTACTTGCCTGGTGAACATGACTTACTTGAAACCTCATGAAAAGTTTCCTGGTAATAAACAACTCCCATGAATTTCAAATCACAGCATTTCAAGAAACTGATGCTCACAGTGAAAAGTTACAAAATGTCATTAACTTTAAAGGTCCTATGTTGGTCCTAAGGACTTCATTGTCCTTGACTAAAGTAGCTTGTGAAAAACGTGCACTCCAGGTCTATTGACTTTTTTATTTGACTTGTTTTTCAAATAATCGGTATTTACAAAGTTACAGAAGCACGGAAAACTGCTGTAATGCGAGAATTTGCTACTCACATGTCTGCAGGCAGAACCACAGCATTTGCCTCTCTGTAAGTGGGCCAGCTGAGTGAGTACCACATAACCAGTAGCTGGGTCCACGTAAGTGAGCTGGCCAGCCTGAAGAGTAATGAAATAAAACAATTCATTAATCTCAATATTCATCATATCTCCTCACCATAATTTCTACTCATAAAATACTGTGAAAAATTCTTTAACCGATATTAAACTTCTACCCAGCAATTTTAGTGGCATTTGCAATTAAAGACTGAATGCATTCCAATATTAGACACACTCCAACTTTATGTGACACAGGGAGAAAATATATAGTTTGAGAAAAATGAGAAGTTGATGGAAAAACAAGAACTCCTCTATACCCAATAACTATGTAGCTACTTCTCAGGTATTTTTCATTCAGTTTCTAAGTAACAAGTTTAATAACAGGTGATTTAGATGATTTTAAGAGCTTAAGAGGCTGAAAATGAACTTTCACTCAGAAGTTGCAGTTGCAATTTTAGTACTTAAAATATGTGGGTAATGATTGAAACTTACAGAAAAGGTGCTAATCAAAACCAACGGTTTTTCCAGAAAAGTATTACCTTCACTATTATTGAACACTTTTCTTTACCTTCTTGATGTGTTACTCCATTGCACATTTTTACACTATTTTCCTTTAGTTTGATTTTTAAGGGGGAGGGGCAGAAAGTATTGTTTTAGCATTTTAGTGCTCACTGCTTTCACCAGTTTGAGCAAATACTATCTACCCCTTTAGATATCAAAAAAACAGTCTCTACCTACCCTGAAACAGACTTTAACAAAAAGTGTCCCAAGCATTTTGTGTGAAGACAAAGTATAAAATAAAATGTCTGCTGTGCATTTGTGCCTTGTGCGTGATGCTAGTTGGCACTGGAATTTTGTAGAGGAACTTTCTCTAGGTTTTTAAAGCAGATCTTTTTTTTACCTCACAGTCACTCTCCATCACTTTTGCTTAGTCGTTTCATTAAAATACACAAGAGCCTTGAAAGTCTTCTAAAACACCTGTTTGTATGTGCTACAAACAATTTCTTTTCCTCAATGGATGGGTGAACAAAAGGACCAACAGAGTTCTGGTCTGGGTCTACTCTAAGACATTCCAGCAAAGCTAGGTCAGGACAGCAGAAATAAAGCCAAGAAGTCCCAACTCTGGTCTAAGGAGGGTTCACAAGAATTTTGGGACCACAGAAGAGGACTACATGAAACCAAGACCAAAACACTGGAATGACCCATTGTCAAAGTCTCAATTCTTTATTTACAAAAAGACTCTGTTTAGAGCTTTGGGAGAGCAACCAAAACAAACAAACAAACAAAAGAAAACACTGTCAAGTCTGGTAACAACTTTCTTTTCATTTCTCATAGCTCCTGAGGGCAATTTATCTGGCAACCTGGAAGCCTAACAGATTGTTTCTGTGCTTCTGTCCGCCCGCCTGCCCTCCCCCCAACCCAGAAACTGAGAAGCTGAGCTGCACACACAAACAAACAAAGGAGCCTGGGGGAATGGTGGCAACAAAGATGCTCAGGAGGGACACTGACAGGTTGACTCCAGAGGGAGATGTTCGGTGACACCAGAGAGAGGTAAGGAGCTTCCTGCCTTGAGATATGGAAGGAAAACTTGCAAGCAGCTTTGGTTTGTCAAAATAGAAAAACAATATTGTTATTGGGTTTACTTATGCAGCCATTGCACCTATAGCATTAACACTCAGGAGTGTGAAGTCTTTGCTTCCCAGGCTGAGTCTATCTTTACTGGTGTCAACCCTAAAAAGAATGAAACTTTTGCTTCGTCTTCTAAGTTCGTTTTGTGGTTTTCTGCTTTACTCCTTGAGTCCAGCCAGCTCAGAGAACATAGTCCCTTCAAGCCCTGGTCATACACAGTTTATTAAGTAGTTTACTTTCAAATCACTAACAACGTTCACTTCTCATAGCTTCTGAAGGCAATTTATCTGGCAACCTGAGAGAGCCTTGCTCTCTCAAGACAATACAAACATAAATATGCTACTGTTCAAGTCATGTGGTCTGAGGTGTTGGGAACCATAAGGAGAGATGCTACGTATTGACACTGGTGCTAACAAGCAACTGTCAAACCCCTAAAACGTAACTCAGGATTGTCTAGGTTGGAGGTAAACACCTAATGCTAGTTTCCTTTGAAACTGGGCCCATGTAGGATGCGAGAAAGGGTGGAAAAAATAGTAGCAACAATTAAAATATATTTTAAAATGTTAATGTTTTGTTTTATTGAAATCACTGAATAGCAAAGTCTAGTTGATAATGTAGATGAACACAAACTTATTTTTCCTGTGACTTTCCAGTACTCCCACCTCCCAACACGCACACCACACACACACACACACACACACACACACACACACATTGCCTAGCTGCTAACAGAATTTAACCAGGACACTAAGGGTCAAGCTCAAAACTCAGGACAGACACACGTTAAATCCTTCGCCCGGAACAGGAAACGGGGACCAGTTTTCCAGCGAAAGGTCGACATGAGACGAGACGTGTGCATGCTAGAGGGCACTGGCTGCACCGCGGGCGCCTCGGACCTCTCACTTGGCCGGCGCCCTCCAGATCTAGGAAGGGCCTAGGACGCGCAGGCGCAGGGCCCCGGCTCCCCAGGGAGCCGGGCTGGGGTTCGCGGGGGGCGGAGGGCGAGGTTGGGTTGCGGACGGGAGGGGCCTCACCGCGCAGGCGGCCGCGTGCAGATCCGCGATCCTCCGCTCCGCGCGGGTTAACTCTTCCCGGGCCGGGCGCCCACCCGCGCGCTCGGGCCGGCGGGGAGAGCGGGGCCTAGGGCCGGGTCGCTCCGAAGCAGAGCAGCGTGTTAAGCTGAGGTGC